TGATTCATTTGTTGTTTAACTAAGAATGTTTATGCATTTGTTAAATCATGATAATGACTGTCACAGGAAAAGTGGAACTACTTATTTTCTTTTATCGTGCCTTAAAGATTAATAATGGTATAAAAAATCACAGAGAATCTGATTACAATGTTTTCATTGTGTTTTTATGTTAATCACTGTTTTTATTTCACTGTGAACACAGTAATATAATTGTGGATTTTTCCTGAGAAAATCTTTCATTTATCTGGACTAACAGAAGGTTCAGAACTGATTKTAAAACAGAAATGTTAATTAATCATCATAAATGTTTTGCAGTGATTTCTCTTAGTCTATCAGAAGAAAGCTGAAAAAAGGTTATCATATCCTGTTGTGAACAACCACAGAATTTTAACCTTGGGCTGGCGCCGGCTGGCAAATCTTTATCTTTCTTCTCTGACTCATCTCTAAGCCTGAGGGCGGAACCAAAGTTCGTCCGTTTCTTTTACTAACCTGGACGGCTTTGAGCAACACACTCTTCTTCCTGATTCCAACCTAGGAAGACAACTGGGATTCTCTCCGGAGGAAAACTCAGTTTGGCTTTAAGTTTGAGCCCATGAGCTAACTAGGGGAGACCTAACAGCCCGGGACCCGGCACGCCACCAGTGGTCTCAACTCGAGGCCGAGACTCTGAGTGTTTTTACCTCCCGTGAAGAGATTTTATTTTGGAAGGAGGAACCGGATACGGCTTGAATTTTTCTGGCTTGGACTGAACCAGACGAAAGTTACCTGGAAAAACACCTGTTCACCAATGACCGGTAAGCGAGCCGACATCAGTTCCCTGACTGATCGGAGGCGAGCCAGCTCCTACCTCGAGGGTGCCTTAAGAAGACATCATCAGGTAAAATCTGATGTGTTCGGAGTGATGTGTCATGTGGAACCTGAGCTTAGAAAAGACGTGCAGTTCCGGTTGACCCACACTTTGATAAAAGTAAAAGTCGTAGTAACATTCTAATCTTACTTTCCTCATTTCCTTGTTCTTAATTTGCCAAAACTTAAGCTGAAAGTGCCAGTAAAATCGTTTGGTTGTTAACATCAGAACTGACGTTTTATTGTTCTATATAAGTAATCTGAGTTGATGTGAATTGAAATTCGGACGCCGGTTTTATCTCATTTAACTCTGATGCTTGTTATAGGAATAACCACAATCAAGTGTAACTTATGATCTGTTCAATTTGTATAAATAAATGATTGCATAGTCTTTTATGAATCAACTTGAACTCGTCTGAACGTTCACTTGTGTCACTTTTCCCTTCGCACAGTCAAGATATTAACAAATAATGAGAAATACCTTGGTAAAAGTTTCCTCATAACCTTGTGTATGAGAGATGTGGGAGAAGCTTAATGCCACCTTAAGCTCACCTCCTGCAGTGCTAATGTTTTAGCTGTTTCCTCACCTCCATGGGGATGTTCCAGGCCAGGTACACGTTGGACTTGTACTCGTCCATCCAGACCTCGGCCACCCGCAGGGCGTTGCGGCGCGTGTGAAACGCGATGTTGCTGTGATACGGTTTCTTTATCCGAGCGATGTGAGCCACCCTGGAGCAAGGCAGCACCTCCATGCTGCCGCCACACAGCCACACCTGCAGGGAGACCAGCTCGTTAGGACCAACATGTCACCATGATGCTGCGCAGAAGAGCTCAAAGGATCCACGATTACATTAGACTTTATTTAATAAACATATATTTAAACTGTAAAATAAAGACTGTAAAAATACTGTAGGCTGTTTAGTTTGCCATTTTTAAAAATACATATTTTAACATGGACGGAGCCATTTTATTTACACGCAAAGCATTCTGGGTAAATGATGACATCAACTAGGTCATTGGTGCGAGGCTGCTAG